TGCTCCTGAGTCGAGCATCGCATGTATCCTGGTTGCTTGTTTTTTGTCATTGTATATTGTGGTTTCAATCATGATATGATCATTGTCGTCATTGTTCCTTTTCTGACTTAAAAGAGTGTAGTAGTTGGCCGTCGAGATGGGTTTGTCTTTCGGAGGGTCCCGCAGACCATCTATTGCTGGGAACCTTCGTCTTTTGCCACCGTTTCATATTCGTCTTCGATATCGATTTCCCTTATATTGCTGCGGGGTTGGAATCTAGTGCTTGGCCTGGTGTTCTGTTGACTTCTTCCTTGATTTGGGTTGGCCGGCTGTCTGCAATCCTTAATCATGTGCCCTGCTATTCCGCATCTTAGGCACAAATTATTGTTTCGTCTCCTAAGGTATTCGTCCCTTCCGAGGTTGACTGACGGTCTTTTCCTTGTTGCGTCCAGGTCCATTGCCTCGCCTCCTTGCGTGGTGGTCCTATAGGTCCCATCCTGGTTCCTGGGGGTGTTTTGGTTTCTAGTATATGTGTGGTTAGACTGGGTTGAGGCTGGCTGAGTCTTTTGTATCCAGTCTAGTTGTCCAAATTGAATTTCTTTTCGAATGGCCCAGTTGGCCATGGCTTCTGTAGTCGTGAACTTTTCCTCGCTGTATCTCCAGGCTTCTTGATAGGTCCTCTTCAGACCTTTCATGAACCACCTCATTGCTGTTGCTTCGTCGCATTCGGCATAATATTAGAGAAGTCTGAATTCGTACCAGTAATTGGTGACATTCTTCGTCCCTTGTCTGATGTCTTCCCATTTGTTCCATGCTGATTAGCTCAGTTCCATATTCATGAACTAGGCTTCGAATATAGCCTTGAAGCTGTCCTAAGTTGTCCATGGTACGGGTGTCTGACTGAGCACTATAGGAGTAACCCACTGTAGGGCTGCTCCTTTGAGTAGCGTCAAGGTGCAACGTATCTTGTCGTTATCGTGTCCTTTGTTCCATCCTACTGCATTGAAGTATATGAGGAGTTGGACCATAAATCCTCGTAGTTTACTTCTTTCACCATCATATCTTGGTGGCGTTTCGACTTTTGGTTTCTGATCCTTGTTTCAGAATTCCTCTCGTATCATCTGTTGTACTTCTTCACCAGTGAATATGGCTGGTTCCACTGGTAGCAGTCCTGGTGGCGGGGCTGGTCCTGACATTCTTTCAGGTCTTGGTGTGTCTGGAGTTTCTTCTGGTATGGGTGGAGTGATTGGTTCTGGGGTGACGGGACTTGTTGATCTGGCTGAGTGTCAGCTTGCTTCGCTAAGTGCCTCTTCCAATCCTCCTAATCCTAGACTGTCGTCTTGGACATCTATGTCTTCCTCCTGATCTCTGTTGAAAGGATCCATGGTGTAATAGTTAAGTGTCGTGTTGTAGACACGTTCTAATGTTAAGAATCCTACCGAGTAGGACCGAGCGACAGGTAACGATACTTCTCTTGATGTAACGTGATAGTTCTCAGGCCTGTGCCTACACGATCCCGCTAGTCCAGCCCTATGACTACTAACTTGTTCGCGCCTATCTCCTTATTCCTTGCTTAGGGCTTAATCTCTCCTTGTGGGAGGAAAGACAATTCTTGGGTTTCTTAAGATAAATCTTAAAGAGCGTACAGGTAGGTTTTATTGATAATAACTTGAAGGTAGGAAATAAACAAGAAGAATGTATGAAGAGCTCATACTTATGGTCCTAGTGACCCCTTTATATAGTAGCTCTTCACCTGGCATGACTCATACCTCTCATCACGCGAACCCTGTGACTCATAACCATGAGTCATGTGAAATCCATCAGACGACTCCTATGAGTCGCTGCGCAACATGCCTAACACCAATCAAAACATAATAACCAAGTCAGGTGCGCAACTTGCGTCACCTGAGTGAAACCCATGACTCATAAGTATGAGTCATGTGTGAAAATCATAACATCGTGTGACTCACAACTGTGAGTCACGAACAGGTAAACATAATAACCTATGGTGCACTAATGTGCGTCATGTGAAATCCCAACATACCTATAACTCGGAAGTCTGAGCTATGTGAAATCTGCCTTGCTTAGTCACATTTTGTGACACATATGACCTTATACATTTAGTCATATGCCATACTGATTATGGTTCTATGTGTAACACATTTTTTTATTTTAAAGTAGTATATGTGGTTGGTTGTATACTAGAAAGACTGTAGGTTGAGGAACATTCTGTTGGAATAGATTTCTTTTGTTATAATATAAGGCTTTTAGGTCATACCTCAGAGCCAATACCATGGTATTTCCTATAACTATCTGCCATATTATCAACCACTAGTAGTTCCTCTAGTAATCAAGACATTCCAGCTACCGTTAATGACCCAAGTATACCGGATAGCCCTCTCGAAAGGCTTCAAAAGTCAATGCCTCCCGGTACGATACGACCAAAACAATGAAGTCCAAGGAGTGGTACACTAGATTTCAAAAAAAAAAGTATGACATCATAACATACATTCCCTCCATAATTTCTATTTCCAAGTCCGTCACAACCCCTCCTCAGCATCCAAATTTCCCCCACCGCTGTTGGACTGCCCAACTCTCCCTCGGCACACGGCCTTTTTTCCCCCGATGGTCCAATAACCAGCACCTGTCCCTTCCAACATACTATCACGGTATCAAGGGACAAATCCAGGCTTATATTATACGAGACGAAAAATTGAAGGCTCCCTTCCATCATAGCTTTCCCCAGCAACCACTTTTTCTTTTGCTTCGGAGAAACAGCCCTGCTGCAAGAGGGCACCACGCAGGATCTCGCTCGGAACTATACACACTCACCAAGGTGGGCAGGTCCAGAATCTACCGGGCGGCGGAAGAAAACGTGAAAGAAAAAAATGAATAAAAGCGTCCCCTTCCCTTCTCCGGTTCAGAAAACAGAAGACCGGGAAAGGGTTGGCTCCCAAGCACTGAAAACCAACAGAATCGGCCCGTTAGTGTGATGATCCGCGGTCGATCGATCGACTCTTCAATTTATATATTCTCTCGGGGAACAAAAAAACGAAAAGGAAAATCCCGCCACGAACCACTACTAGCAAAAGCATCAAGGGCAGTTGCACCAAGGCTCAAAGCCGAGCTCTCCCCATGGTCAAGAACGCAACAAGCCTGTTGGGGGGCAGGGGGGGGTGGGGGGGTGGAAATCTCCGTCACGGTAAATCACTCGTGAAATCTCCCCCCCCAGCCGGCCTGGTCGATCATCTTGCTATCTACAACGATACTACATCGGTACAGTACAGGAAATGCTCTCCAAAAAAAAACTCCCTAACTCAACGAGCGTATATGGTTATGATACCCCCCCCCCACGAAGTTATCCCCCATAATCCGTGAATTCTCATAATCTCTCATATCAAATCGTACCCCCGCCTCTTCCCAAATTCTTCCCTACATTAGGAATATAAGACGGAGTCTAACGAGACATGGATCTTTTAATATCACACCAGGAGTAGGACCACCTAATTAATTGTATAACAGCGGGAGTGCCCGGAAGTATTGGTCCCCGCAGGTTATCTTTATTTCCTCGCCTAACAGCTCTTCAAGATATATCACAGAACATAACCATAAAAAGAAAAAAGATCAAGGAGCCTTGACTATGATAGGCGAAGGGATAGGAAGAATAATTGCCCTCGAGTCATACAAAAGTTCCATCTTGGATTCTTGCCCGCCTGGCCTACGCTCCCCGCCGCCATGTAGTGTGAATCGACGCAAAGGAAAGACAATCGTAACAGATAGACGCCACTGAAGTTTCTCGCCTGCGGGTGGTGGTTGCCATCAGCAGTGGCATTAGGAAGTGTGCTCAGACTAGTTTTCTTCCCCCGGTCCGGTTCGTCGACCTAACTGACCGGTAGGTATGCATGAGTATTCCATCAGAGTGGATGGGAAGTGGAGGAAGCTAACACAGACTTTGCACAATTTCGCCCGATATGCCGGATGGTTTTGCACTCCACTACCACACATTACCCCCGGCTCAATACATACATATCCCCCCCTATAGAGTCCACCACAGCATACAAAACTAGGGACAGCCATTTATACCCCCGGGCAGAACCAACCGACAATAATAATAAAAAGGAAACCCAAGCTCCGGAGTATGCACTATCCATCCATTTCCCCCACCCCGAACTAGAAGATTCCAGGATCCGTCAGTTGCACAGTACCTATCAAAACCAGCAGAATCTAGTAGTCCGTCGCAGCGGGGGATACGGCATCATACGGTACTGTACTTGAGAAGGTTAGGAAAGGTGACTGACGGACTCTCACGCATCCTCGAAAAAAAAAAAAAGGGTATGATGCCGCGCTAGGTAGTCTTGCGGATCCGTGTTTTTTAACAAAGTAGATCTGGGCTGATTCTTTTTTTCCCTGCTAGCAGCGGTGGTGTGTGGCCAGTACTTTACTTCACTTTACCTTACCTTACTTGAGTGGATTGATTGTGATGCTGCTGCTCCCCGGTTTGGAAAAAAAAAAAAGTGTTATATGATACACATTATATCCTTCGCCCTGCTCAGGCGTTTGATCCCGAGTGGGGAAGTACAGTACTGCAAAAGACTCAACGGCAAGAAATAACCCAAGACCACCGTACTACTCAGGTATTACCATACGGTTCTTGGACATTAGTTGTCGTTTTGAACCTATCATACTATACTAACTCACCCCGCCGCAACGCACCAAAACCACACCAAAATTCCGAAAAATAATAAAAAGGCAGACTGATCTCACCTTCAATACTGAGGGGCCGTTTGGCGTTACGATTTTGGGTGGTTACCAACCATGGTTTGGCCTCAAAAACCTGCTTATATAATCCATTTTAAGGGCCATAATTGGTCAGTTTTTATGCTTCATGGGCAAACCATGGTTGGTAACCACACAAAACCGTAAGGCCAAACGGCCCCTAACTCTCTCTCGTGAATTGTCACATAAATACATCTACAAGTATTATACTAGGAACGCAAGTGTTCAAAATCCGATCTTTATTTCACCAATTAATCTAGGACTCGTCTAGTGCAGGCCATTCCGCGGAGGAGTTACAAATCTCAAGGTTTTTTTTTTTGTTAAATCCTAGAATTTATTTGCTTATATAGGTGCAAACCTCCGCTTTAAAGGCGCAGTCCAGCTAAAACATGGATCCTTCCACCAGGGCACCTCTGTAATAACCGCCCCACACCCCCGTTTTGGCCTCTTCGGCATGTCGGTCAAAAACCTCCTCCACAGGCCTAGGGAAAAACAAGCCGCCCCAAGTCCCTCTGGTATGGGACCAACCACACATCCTGCACTAAGAAAACCATAGCCCTGCCCCATAACCGCAAAGCCACAACCCCCAAAGCACCGGCAGGAAGCGACAAGAAAACCCACACTGTATTCTCTTGAGAAAGGAAACATAAAAGAAACCCAAACAAAAGAAACCTCCTTGATATGACATCGTCCCACAGTTTTCTCCCGGCCCTGCCATTGAAAAGCAGGAAGGTTAACATGGGAGAACCTTTTGGTGTAATCGTAGCGTCGGGGGGCGTTCGACCAGGTCGTGCCAGCCCCCCCTTTGAGTGCATCCGAGCCAACTGACCCAACCGAGACCTGAGACAGTGCAATACCGACCCCGCAGCCATAGTGTCGACCTGTATTTTGCGTCCCTACTTGGGGGAGAGGGCCAAGTAGGTGGGAAATTCGAAACCTCACAGGGTGTAGAGGCGAGATGCCAACCCAGGAGGGAGGAAGGAAGCGTTTAGAGTCCAGTCTGGCCAGAAGACAAAGCCCCAGCGCGAAAGGACGTGTTTTGCGTTACCCAAACGATGAAAGTTGAGTACCCAAGCCATATGAAGCCCCAAGAAAGTTAGGCGAGGGAAAGATCGTGAGGGGGTGTCTGGTGTTCTGGCCCCTAACCACCTTCCCGATTAGGAAGGTGAAAAGCAGGGTCAGGAAAGTAGCGGAAAGGAAGCTTGTTACAAATCTCAAGGTGAGCGCCAAATACTTGTACGGGTGTCCAGAAGGAATGATACTTACCCTGAAGGTTTCTGGCTTCACGTGTTCACTCACAACCCATCCTCTGCAGGCGGGCACCCGGGATTTGAGCATATCGCACGCAATGAATAAATCCTCTCGCTTTCCAGGTTCTATAATATAAACTGAATAGCAGGTTGCGGTGTAAAATGCGCCAATGACGATGAGCTATATCAGCACACTATACCGGCATTGCACATCAAATAACGAAACCTACAACACCCTACACCAATCAAACAATAAAAAATGGAAAATAAAACAATAAAAATAAAAAAGCAAAAACACTTCATAACCCTCCTCCTCTCCCCAACCTTTATACATAATACCAGCCCTCCACTACCTCTACCTCTCCTGCTTAGGCCGAAAGCCAACACCCCACCATCTAGTCTTCAGCATCAATGAACTACACACTACGCTAACCGAACTAAATGCCATAGCCAAAGCAGCCCATACAGGGTCTAATCTGATGCGCCGTTGGGATACCGGGTACAGCACCCCTGCTGCCACGGGCAGAGCAATCAAGTTGTAAATGCATGCCCAGAAGAAATTAAACTTGACCCTCCTAAATACTGCTCTAGAAAGCTCAGTCAGGGTGAGCAGAGATTGGAGGTCAGACGAGACGAGGATGAATTTGGCGCTAGAGATTGCTACGTCCGAGCCTGAGCCTATGGCAATGCCTACGTCTGCCATTGAGAGTGCAGGGGCGTCATTTATTCCATCACCGACCATGGCCACTATTGCTCGTTTGGATTTTGGGGAGTCCCTATGGTGGAAGAAACGGTGCCAGCGGGCGCGAGGCCGCTTAGGGGCAGTGTTTTGGAGAATGGTGATTCTATCAGCCTAGAAACACATGAGCAGGATAACCGCAAAACTTGTGAGAAGGACACATGCCTTTTCGGTAGGAAGTACTCCCGCGATTACATTCTCCGCTGGAATTCCTACCATCGCAGCAACCGTGACGGCGGTCTTCTCGTTATCACCCGAAATCATCCAAATTGATATGCCGCTCTCCCGTAGACTCGACACAACATTCAGCGCTTCCGGGCGGAGTGGATCAGAAGCACCGAAGAGGGCCGCCAGTCTGTATTCCGGCTCAAAGGTGCCCTTGTCGGTGGCGCCACGCTTTTTGATAGCTAGGAGGACAACACTCTTGCCCGCCAGTTTCCAACCATCTAAGACGCTTGTGTAGAGCCCGATGTCAGCAACACCACTCTCTTGCATGAACCGCTCATTCCCAATAATTCCCTCGAAGACGTCACCATCCGGCAGCCTAAATACGCCATTCAAACCCTTCCCAGGTGTCTCCTCAGTCTCCACCACTGAAATGTCAACCATCTCCTTCGTATCACAATGTGCGACCACAGCCGCAGCGAGTGGATGCGCAGATCCTCCCTCTAGCTTGTGTGCAATGGCATACGCAATCCTCCTAGCTTCATCACCCTCAACGAGTATCCTTTCCTCTGTAACCTTCGGTTCGCCACCCTGAGTCAAAGTTCCAGTTTTATCAAAGACAATACAGTCCAACCATGCAGACTCCTGAAAGGCCTCGCCGCCACCTTTCGCCAGAATACCAAACTTTGCCGCCAACCCGGAGCCTACGAACAAAGCAGTTGGTGCCGCAAGGCCGATTCCGCATGGGCACGCAATGACAAATACAGCGATGGCAAATCCGAGGGACCAAACGGCCCACCCTCCATGATCAACATCCAGGTAGGAATCAGGAAGACTGCCCGATATACCCAACCCAAGCCAGACAAGCCACGTTGTGATAGCAAGAAAAGTCACGACGGGGACAAAATAGCCAGTTAGTATATCGGCCAGGCGTTCAATAGGTGCACGCCTAGTTTGGCCCTCGCGAACGACCTTGACAATTTGGTCCAGCATTGAGTGACCTCCGATACAATCAACCCGTATATTGACAACTTGGCCCTGGTTAATGGTTCCCGCATAGACAAAATCGCCTTCCGATTTCGGAACCAGCCTCGCCTCCCCCGTTAATGAAGACTCATCAAACTGCGAGTGACCAGATATGATTGTTCCATCGGCAGGCGGTGCCGAGCCCCGTACCACGCTAACTATATCACCGACCTCGAGAAGATCCGTGCTAATCTTTCGAGATCTCCAAGCTCTGCTGTCCGTGTATTCCGAATTGCTTGGGTCACTCTCCCCGATCGGTGACCGGTTAACCTTGTCCTTGAAAGTTGCTGCATCCGCCGCGACGTCGACTTGATCAGCTTTCACCACTAAAAGAGCTTCAGATGGTCGCAATCCCCGGAGTAAATTGACTGCGTCTGCAGTCTTGCTCTTGCTGTAGGCTTCCAAGAACCGGCCTATATCAATTGTTAGAAAATGCCAAAACAGCAGTGCCGAGGCCATCACTTGCCGATCAGCAAAAACATTGTCAAGAAAACTACCGAATCAAAGTAGGTAGTAGTGTGCGGCCGGCGCTTCGGCTCCTCCATACCACCCATACCCTCCATTCCCATATGTGCCCCCTCATGTCGGCTAACACCCTCAGCCTTCATCATGGGCATTGTCACAGCGTCCAAAGCCAACAACACCACGCTAGCGAAGTACGATATCGAAACTCCCAACGAAACCAGCAGGTTCATACTCCCAAATCTGTAAAATCTTCGCAATACTGGTACATTGCTCCCCTTCCTCCACAAGGCCATGATCTCATGAATAGCGCGTTTATGAAATACATCAGCAACGAAGAACATGACAGGTGTGCTTAAGAAGAGCAAGGCCCATCCTATTCTAGTAACGCTTCCGGCCCACATCGGCTCTTGCAGGTACCTTCGGACTCGATCTTCCTTAGGCACCAGGGTCATCCAGACTATTCCAATCATGAAGGTAGGAATAGCAATAATGAAGCACATTATGAGCCGGGTGAGTAGGCGATTCCGTTCACGAAGTTGCAACTGGCGGGAGCGTTCCTCCATTGTTGGAGGGTGGTACACCGATACCACAAACCCAGGGGAGACGGACGATATTGCAGCGGTGATGTGTCGTAAGGTAAAGCCAGGGGGCCGTGGAGTATATTTGATATGAATAAGCCCAGATTGTCTAGTAATAGGGGCAACGATGCTAAGTAACTCATCCGGGAATGAGGATTCTAGTGCACTAACGGCCCTCCCCGGGCAGTGATCACAGAACATTCCTTCAACCTTTAGCGTAACCGCTCTCTCCACCCCCACCTGCCCTCTGACCACAATACCCGCTTCTCCCCCTAAAGCATTGAGTGTCTCAAGCGAACATTCAAAGCCCGTCTCTTCCACTTCAAACACAAGCTTCTGTGCTCCCGGCTCCGCTCCGCCTGTTTCCCTGGCATCGAACACGACCGTCGCGCTGTTACCCATAAGGTTCACGCTCACCGACTTGACCGCCGGGAGGGCTTCCAGAACTTCAGTCACCCTATTAGTGCAAGAAGCACAAGTCATCCCACCAACGGACATGACGGCTTCGTACACCACGTCTGTTGGAACATGTCCGGGAGTCTGAATATCTCCGACACCACTCCCGTCCGTCGATACCTCGTTTCCCCTCGAAAGTGGCACCTTTCCGGATGTATCAGTCACCACAAACCCCCCAAGAGGAACAGGACCCACCCAAGCCGTGGCACCGCCCTCGGAGCCAGGCCCCACCGAAGACTGATATGAAGAAAACCCCTTCTCCCGGAGGGCCTCACTCCTGCACATCTCACAATTCTCCAAATGTCTCTCACTCCCAGCATTCTTCTTCCCCATAACTTCTTTAATCCTCACCCGCATATCCTCCAGCCAATCGTAAGCATTTCCCTGAAAAGTAATCATATGACCACTCGAAGACGGCCCTATTATTGATCCCCCGGAACCCGACGAGCTAGATACACTGTCAAGCTCAAAGCCCACCTCCAGCAGCACCCGAATGATATCCCGCGGAGAGAGTAGCTGAGTGTGCGTGACGGTGACACTGTGGTCCAGGATACTGATAGAAATAGCCAGCGGGGGAGGGGACAACCCGGAGAGCGATTCCTCGATGGTACTACTACAGGTGGAGCAGTGAAGGTTAGGTATCAGTAGGGTGGTAATGACACTCTCCCCCGAACGGCCTGGCAACCGACTTATAACCTCATCCACCGCAGGCATATTTTCAGGGAGGGGTAACGAGGAATTGGCAGCGAAGGGGAAGGAAATTTGTGGTGGGGTTGTGTCCGCCTTGGTAGACATTGTTTGCTCTGGTTTGAAGTTTCACCGCAACTCACGGCTGCCGGGAAAAGCGAGTACGGAACAGCGGACTAGGGGTCATCGTCAGGGCTTCTCCACATATAGGCTGTAGTGAGGCAAGGGAAACCTCTGTGCTCTGGGTTTGTGGCAACTTACCTCGCTGTAAATACCCTTATGCTGAACCCCTGTTCCCCGGAGGTCAATCAAAATAGGTAAAATTTTCAAAAAAAAAACCCCCCCAGTACGTATCCGGATAGGGTGTGTGTGTGTGTTATGAGCGGCCGTAGTGCGGTATCATAGCGGGGGAGGAGATGGTTGCCCGTGGTTGCCCGTGGTAATATATAGGAAAGAGGGTGGCAAATGTTTGCTCCAAATAAATAAATAAAAATAATAATAAGAATAAGAAAAAGACCAAGTCCCATGCGATGCAAGACAAGCTATGGCTATAAGACCTCCGTTTGGACGCCCTAGCAAACACCGTCAGGGCAGCCCCGCTACCTATGATAGTACAAAAAAGTAAACCCCCAATGAATAAATGAATAAGGGAAAATCTTTCCGAGAACGGGATGGAGGGAAGTGGGCATCCGGATAATCGCCTTTTGGTGAGCTAACCCACCTGCAGAAGGCCTACTGATAAGGCATATATATTATTCACTTCAGTGGACGAACTTCCCCACCACTGGGCACGATAGAAAAGCACAACCAAAATTCCCAACCCACCAATATCGAGGCTTCCCCCGACGGAAGGACAAAGAAGGAAGTGGGCCGATGCACGCGAGTCCCGAATTCGTGTCTCAGCACTTCTCCCTCAGCTTGAGCAAAAAGTGCGTACGGTTCCAGGATTAAAGTGTAACCATCTAGTGTACCGTACGAGTACTCGTAATCTCAGTTCACAACATCCCAGCACTAGACTGCCCTCCCTCCAGAATACAAGATCACTCGTAAGCGTTCATAGGCCTATCATATGCCCCGTCCGTGGGTATACCGTACAAGTACTCGTACTCCCTCCCACACGGTAGTCGGCCTCTTCGTCCAGTAGCACCCATGACACCGGTGATCAGATGTCTCTCCCACCAGGTAGCTCACAGCAAACCGTTATTAGGATCCACCACCCACCACGTGAGGAGCAGTTTTTGCGGCGGCGGCGGCGGGCGGTGGCGGCGGGCCAAGCGGCGCCTCGGTTGAGGTGGGACTGGCGCCATGTGGTGGGCACAGCACAGTATGCTCCGTCTCCACCGGAGAATGACCGTCTTTGTCGGCATCGCCGCCGGTATCAGCGGTAAGGAATACACGGCATTTTCCCTGATGCGTCCCGGACGGGGACAGTTCAAATACGACGCACCCATCCGATCACCAAACGAGATAGAGAGGCCTTGAATGTCCCAGTCCATTCCAACCTCTAACTAATTACAATATCCATGCGATTGGAGCTATGACACCTCTGCCAGGGAAAGAAGATCCTGTGCAGCAGTATTGCACATTACCGGTATCATCACACTAGTACAAAAGTCATCCACAGAACAAGGTGACTCGGAAATGAGAAATACTTCACCCAATATCATACTAGCAACCACACCGTCCCAAGGAAGCCTAAGCAAGAGAAAAAAAAGAAAAAAACCATCACTCCTACGATACAGCAAACCCACTGCCCTCTCCCTCACTCCTCCTATGCCCGGGCACCGGTAAGCCAACTAAACTCACCCTAAAGCACAGCAAACGCCAGTCATGTCGTCAATAACCCAGACCGCTCGGCCACCAAGCCAAATCAGGCCAAGCCAAACATTTTACGCGAAAAGCCCGCGCTCGAACTTAACTTATTGGCCGGTTATGATAAAAAGGCTTGGTATGCGTAACTCCACAAGGGTTTAGACCGATGTGGGCTTAATCTGAAAATTAGTGAGGCCACACAACATCTGGGGAAGCAGGGGACATCGGCGGGTACGGGTACTCGAGTACAGTACGATCAGGCATAGGTGCGAGCACTTAATGTACGAGTACCGTTACGCTGGTCCATTTTGATGATTGGTATGATGGTCTAGAGCTGAATCCGGCCATCATACGAGGAAGGCAGAATAGGAGAGAGCTTTCTGCGGTTTGGCCTGCTGTCAAGTTCCGGGATAACTTGATAGGGTAGAGGTTCCGAAGAAGAAGAAGAAGAAAAGAAGGGCAGTCTATCATACTCAGGAAGAAGGGGAGGCCAGGCTCTTGTTTTGGCTTGAACTAACCTCCATCGCCACAATGCAATACTACAGGTATGGATAACTAATCAGCCCGGAAGCATCCCGCCCCCAACCTCCATCCAGTCAAGGTAAAATAAAAATAAAATAAAAAGACATGAAATATATAAATGAATATATCATACTCGCGGCGAGAGAGAAAAGAAAAGACCTGGGACAGTCGAAGAAGCAACCAGCCCACCATCGGGAAGCTTTCATCCTCCGCTCAAATGGTCAACAGCCACGAAAAAAACACAGGAGAATTGTACTTGTAGGAATCAGGGAGGAGGGGGAAACAAAAAACCCCGTTTTTCACGGGTAATGTGTAAAATATCCTGGCCTTCTTTTCTTTTTCCCTCTTTTTTAAATCTCAATTGTGGTTGTGTTGTGGTCCCGGTTGTCACGATAGCCTAGCTTGGATGAGAAGAAAGAATGGCTTTGCCCCGACTTGGCCAGTTCCTAATCTCGCCGCGAGCCTAGACTATATAACTTATTATATATACTCGTAAAGGGGGCCCTCCACCAAAATCCGGCTGAGACGTTTTTCGCACCAAACAGGGATTACGGTACGAGTGCCATGTACAGTACTCGGCCAGGTATCCTGAGCTAACTGCCCGCTAAACTTTATCGTGAGTAAAGTATTATAATATTAATTTTATTATCATACTCGTACCGTACCTTGACCAAACTCCCCATCTCGCCATCTCGCCCTCCGGACCGAACCCTCCCCCAGCACTCGTACCGGTACAAGTGCGGTGACCGCATGTAATACAATACCAGTACAGCACGCCTCTTGGGGAATATAGAAAAAAAAGAGTACGGGTACCAGAAAACAGGGATCCGCTAACTACATGCCTTATTGTACAGTACTGTAATATCACAAATATCCAAGTGTCCGTAGTCTACGGGCTCACGACCGCTTCTTGCGTGCTAACTTACGAGTAACACCACCAAAATCAGATCTCCGATTGCCTGTTCAACATATCATTGACTCTCCCTTATATTACCCGTGTATTGCTTGTACCGATACTTGAGTACAGTACTCCTCCTCCTCCCCGCGGACAAATGTAGAGCCTGCCCACGCTAGGAATACCAGCAGTGATGGCAATAAATTATTATTTTTTAAGTTGACGGCGACAACCCCGCCAATTTCATTGGGTTACACTGGAGGACTTCCCGTAAATCTATCGGGAGTGGGATCTATTGGAATAGAGAGCTGAATAGAAGATAAGATAGACTATGACTTCCCGTAAACAGCGGGGTTCCAGCCAGTTTTCTCTATCACTGGATTGGGAATAAACTAAAGCACTAGTGCAATAACAGGATTTCTTGTTAGATAGACATGCTCTATTTCATTGGAACAGATAACTTGAATAGAAAGGCGGGGGGGGGGGGGGCGTTTTAACAGCTGGTTTTAAGCACCCTCTCCTATTGTGCAAGATTCGGAAATATCTGTTCCCTCCTGGTGATAGACTTACGGGAAGTCCCCCACTATAGACTGCGGTGTGTCGGTTAGAATCGCCCGGGCAATACTGCTTGGCCGGCGGGTTAGCAGAGTACTGTACCGGTACCGATACTCCAACAGGATTCTTTTGTTGCCGCTCGGATCTCGTGTCGCCATGGACCATCGAACCCTAGCGTCACCGCAGGCCAAGTTAAAGCTCGAGCACCGCGAGGGAGTACGGTACGGTACTCGAGTATGATACCAGTACAGTACAAGTACATACCGGTACTTGGAGGATAAGTGGTACTGCCGAACCTTATTTGGCTTGTTTTCCTCCAGGTTCAGTTGGTTGCGAGCCAATTGTTTGTTGAAATCGGTGCAGTGGAAGTGAGAAACGAGATCACTCTGCTCGTACCCGCACGGGAACAATACCATCATGGAGTGAGTGTACGAGTGCGTGGGTGAGAGAAGTCACAAGGTGCGATGATTGATAGGGACTATGGTGCATGTTACGGTGGTTGCCCCCGTCACGGATGCCTCTGAAGCCTTTTTTCTGTTCTGGGAGGGGCATTCGGTGAGTGGGTGAGTGAGTCCCCCCATCATGCCCGAGTACCCTACCAGTAGTAGGAGGAGGGTGTCTGGTCGAGCACGGTAACTGCTAAGTTACCGGTATTATCCTACAAGCATAGCACAACTGCTCGTGTTGTGGAAAGAGAGCCGCTATTGCCATACCACCTATATCCGGGGGAAAGGGCCAAATCCTGGCCATATGCAATATCAGTCCTTTCTTTTTTTTTTTTTATAAAAAAAAAAGGCTTTGGTATTACGAGTAACTTAGACCATACGATCCAATCCCATCCCCGTACTCAACATTATTTCGCCTACCCCCGCACTCACATCCGTCTATCCCACCATCATGCCCATTATCATAGACCACTCCCCCCCACCCAGCGGACCCAACACGCAACTACCACACAGCCAAGACGAAAACGAGACGCAGTAGATATGCATAGAATCACGTGACCTGTGGGGTTCTTGAGTCTTTTTCCCACCTTCTCTTTTCATTCCTTTTTAGCTTCTGTACGGTATGCACATTATCATGTCGTGTGCTCGGCAGATAAGTTATGAGCACTCCACTCTAGGGCTTCTCAGATTGCGAGTTTTGTGCGGTGCATTGGTAAGCTGCTGTGTGATTGACGACAATCGTAATACGGTACCGTACGGTACTTGGCTAAGCACAGCAAGGCACACGGCGGCATTATGTATGGATTCGCGTATCATGTATGTAGGTGGGTAAGTGAGACAGATGGTAGGCTCGGCTTGATTCGACTGCACCAGTTGTACAATGCATGATCACTGCTCTGCTGTTATCCTCCCCATCAGAGAGATTCCCTGCGGTGGTGCTGCTGGCCAGTCTCACCCGCCCGAGTCAAGTCGTTTCCTGTCGTTCGTAAAGGGGTTTGGCTTTCCCTACCGCAGCGGTAGCTTTGCCATCACCTGAATACACGGTAACGATGTGGGAGGCGGAAGGTGGAAAAGGTCGGTTGTTCGGCTTTCGTACGAAGCGAGATTGTGCAGTACCGGTACGAAGCTTGTGATATGAGGGATGTCCGGCCAGGAGAGCGCTCCCAGAGCGTCCAGGAAGCAAGGATGTTTATCGATTGCCGTGAGTACTGGCACTCGAGTATAGTACTTGGGCTCGAGCCGCGCGTAGAATCCCTACGGCACTCTCCCGTCCCCAACGTAACTTTCCTTATTAGAGCGACCTTATTTTATCCGTGTCACGTGCTCGGGCCATTTCAGCCCTGACCCTGACCCTGAGTTAAGTAAGTTGGTACGATGCCGGTGGTCCTTGGAGGGTTCAGCCTCAAGCCCCGGACCCTATTCCATTCCTCCTTGCCCACAGCCACATCCCGGTGCCAACGCAACCGCCACAAAAATCTTCTGTCAAAGCAATAGATACGGGAGAATCCTGTCTTTGAGCTCTCATCATCTTACCTAACACCAAAACCAACCCCAGTGTCACCATTTCCCCCCTCCCCGGCCACCCATCCGACCGACCATGACCGCAGCGACGACGACGGCGGCAGCATCCCCGGACGCTTCCCTCGCCGAGAAGATCCTCAACCCCCAGTCCCAGCAGTTTGGCAACCGGTTCGCGTTTCACGAGTTCCTAAGGAAGGAGTATAGGTTTGGTCTGGATCCTAATCGGAGGACTTGCCCGCTGTTTGTGCAGGGACATTGTCCCATGGGGAACAGCTGTCCGGATAAACATGCGGTTTCGAGCTCCTTTAACAAGTAATGCTTTTTTGTCTCTCCAAGGGTTCTTTTTTTTCTCTCTCTCTCGTTGGCATTGGGGGCGGTTGATGGAGGAGGAGGAGGCGGTGTTGGAGGAGGAAGGAAGAGGAATAGAAGGGAAGGGAATTTGCTAACGATAGTGGTAACGGAGCAGTTTGGTTTGCAAGCATTGGTTGAGGTCGCTATGCAAGAAAGGGGAGGCGTGTGAGTTTCTTCATGAGTACAATTTGCAAGTCCACTCCCTTCTTCGCCCCATTGCATTCTTTTGGCAATATTTTGATTTTCTCCTCCATTTTCATTGCCCCCCGAAAACGAAGGCTAACGAAGCGCAATGATGCATGTCTTCCACTTTGATTCGTCCAAACAGACGCAAAATGCCCGAATGCAACTTCTTCGTGCGGAATGGCTACTGCAGCAATGGCGAGGAATGTCTATACCTACACGTAGATCCCGACAGTAAAATCCCTCCATGCCCACACTTCGAGAATGGCTTCTGTCCGCTGGGTCCCACGTGCTCAAAAAAACACGTCAGGAAGCAGATCTGCAAGTTTTATCTGGCTGGCTTCTGTCCGGATGGCAGAAGCAATTGCAAAGAGGGGACTCATCCAAAGTGGAAGACGGGGTTGCCGGCGCCAACGGTGAAGAAGCCAAGAGAGGAAGTGGAGAAGGAACGTGATGGGGACAGAGAAGGCGGGGGTGAGGGGTTCCGGGGGAGGGGAAATTTCGAGAGGAGAAGGTTTTATGGAGGGAGGGGAAGAAGGGATAGGGATAGGTAGATTTTGATAAGCCTTTTTACAATCGTTGCCCGTGATGGAGTCAAATCTTGTTTTGGAAAGTATTATTCGTTCTTGAGCCCGTTTTCTGTGCGGGGGAGCCTTAATGATGATTGTGGTGGTTTGGTTTTGATTTGGCAGTGATGTGTTTTTGTTTTGTTTTTGTTTTTTTTTGTCTTTTTCTTCCTTCCTTTCTTTCCTTCTTTTCATTTCTTTTCTGCTCCTTCCCTTCCGTACCCTGTTTTCCTTTCCTTCCTTTTTTTTCTTTTTTTCTTTCTTTCTCGGTGCTTCCTTTTCCTTTTGTTTTCTTTTCATCCCATATCAGCGAATAGGGAATTTCTACTTGTATTATATTGCGGAGATATGAATTCATGGGTTATTCTGCAATTTCGATTGGACAATTCCGCTTGTGACTGCAAATGGGCTGCCTTCCCACAACCGGGGTAAGCTTAAGGCATGTCGGAAGTGTTTGACAACCGCTTATTTTCGGGAGGAGAAAAGGGTGTATGGCTGGGAACGAGTGGCTCTCGTGTCAGCACAAGTACGTGAGAGCGAGACCATCTGACATCATAGCCCCGTATCATTACTCGTAGACACGACACACGCGAGGAGTCTGATGATGTCCCTGACATGGGTCTCGTGTTGAAGCAGTGTAGTTTAAAACTCGAGGGTGTCTAGCATATCATGAAAGGTAAGAAGAAAAAAAACTCACACCACAACCAGCTTCCAGCTTCTCCCAATTGACTGTTTTCAAAAAATAATAATACTCGAGTGAGTTTCCATGAAGCATCCATCAATTCTCAACTCCCGTGGTAGACATCCAACTACTCTCGCAGAACAAACGGTATCGGTGCCTTGATGGATCTGCGAATTCCCTAAAAATCAGGAGATGAGAGCAAAGTCTAGGTACTGATCCCCTTTATCGAGAGTATCTAATCTAGTTCGCATGCAATGAGCATCCTACATTACGGATCGTGCATGGAAATCTGTAGGTCGAAATCGGTTCAGGGTTAGGGTAGGCCGAGTCGATTAATGGAGTTTTTCCCTCTTCTCCCTCAACCAGAGCAGGAGGGTTCGTTCGGTACCTCTCTCACTCGCCTGTTCCCCTTTCCCTTACCCCCCCCCCCCTTTGTTTCTCTCCCTCTAATCTTTTCTCTTCTCCCTTCCACCTCTTCGTCAATAATAATGATAATAATAATACTTTGTATTTGACGACATTAGCAACGGACCTCTTGCGGCTCAACCATTGATCAGCATCTTCCGGGAATTCATTTGCCGGGCAGCTGGTCCTATTAATCGGGCTCGGGTGGGTGGCGGTAGGAGGAGGATGAAGTGGAGCCCTAACGTTATCACGGTAGGATGGATGAATGGGCGGAGGGGGAGGAGGGGGGGGGCGGCTTCTGCAGGCGGTACGTAGGCACCGGACAGGGAGCAGGAGGGGGAAAGGACGTTTATGGTGTCAAAGTATTCAGCTTGGCAAGGAGGGAGGAAGGTTGATTAGGAGCTAGAGGTATGTTCCCCAAAAGCAAAAAGGTGTTCGATATCACGGAATTCATCACCCTTCTCCCTCACTTCACCTACCGTAATCCACTGCTATCGTTCTACGATACCTGTATGACATGATATGACAACCTTCGCGGAGGAAATGGTAACTCAGTAACTGGCCCCCTTTCTCCACTATTTATCATTTCAGATCGATCACTGAATCAGGGGAGCTTGATCAAAATTTTAGAATAGGATAGCTCTTCTTCACTCCCTTCCCTCTCTTTCCTCCCTCTTCCTTTTCCGGAGTACACGATACCATACCATACCACACAACACAGTGCCAATCCCCCCCCCCCCCCGAAAAAAAAAAAAGAGCCGTAGTGCCCCTAGCAACGACACCACCAAACTGGGAGAGATAATAATAAACTTTTGACAACCCCACCTTATCCCCACTATAGCTATCAACCCCACCATGCCAATACTCAACCTCCCGAACGAGCTTCTCCTCGTAATCGCAGACGAATTCCTAGACCCGAGGGACCTCAACGCCTTGATTCTGACAAATCGCCGCTTCGCCCGCCTTCTATCACCAATAATGCACACTCTCGCCGCATCGGACAAGGATGGCATACCAGCGCTCTGTTGGGCAGCACGACAAGGCCATGGGCCGCTCGTCAGATTGTTGCTTCATAAAGGCGCACAGGTGGACGCTCAAGACGCAAATGTCGGATTGGAGATAGTGAATCGGCAAACCGCGCTCCACCATGCCGCCAGCAGTGGCCATGAAGACATTGTTAGGGTGTTACTGGAGGGAGGGGCAATGGTCAATGTGAAAAACAATTACCTGGAGACTCCGTTGCACAGGGCTGTCGCAGGCGGAAGTGAGGGTATCGTGCGCTTATTGTTAGAGAATGGGGCGGAAATCAACGCCTACACGAGCTACCTACAAACTCCGTTGTTCAATGCCCTCGAAGGTGGTCGGGAAGCTCTAGCGTTGTTATTGCTTCGCAAAGGCGCGGACGTAACGACACGGGACTCTGCCGGAGAGACAGTCCTCTTACCCGCCGTTCGCGAGGGCTACGATATGATTGTTAAACGCCTGTTGGAGCAGGGTGTGGACGTTAACGTTCCCAACCACGACGGCGACAGAGCGCTCCACGAAGCGGCCCGGGAGGGCTTCGTCCACATCGCTAGGTTATTGCTGGACAATGGGGCGGAGATCGATGCCGAAAACAGCGATGGCCAGACGGCGCTGCACTTAGCAATCTCGGTCGGGGGCGAAAGGTATGAGGATTCTATCACATTGCTTTTGGGCAAGGGCGCCAATGTCAATGCCACAGACCAATACAGCGAGACGCCGCTACATTACGCTGCCCGACACCAGTCCGGTGCGATATCCCAAGTCCTTATTAACGCTGGTGCCTCCGTCAATGTCCAAAACCATTATTATGGCGATACGCCGCTAAGTATCGCCGTTCAATGCGGGTCCAGGGATGCCATTACTCTTCTCTTACGGAACGGCGCCGACGTTGATATTCCAAACCGGGAGGGTCACACTTCTCTAGAATTGGCTGCTAGAAGACACCAATCCCTAGCGCAGCTCTTCGCCGAATTCACCGTTTCCCCGTAAACCTCTCCTGCATCTATTTCATCTCCATCCTCTGTTTGGTCCATATATTTTACCACAACCAACCCAATTCACCCCCCATTCTTCTTTGATGTTTGATGTTCCCCTCCTGCAGTGCACCCGCCTTTCTTCCTTCACCTTGAAGGCGTTCGTTTCTTTTATATTGATTAAGCTATTATCATACTTTATTGGTTTTCACGTGTTGTCGTGCTTTTTCTTCCCCTTTCCCCTCGATTCCGTTCTTTCTGCCTCTTCTTCCATTTCATCCGAAAGGAGCGGGGCTGCATCGTCATGATGTGCGCAGTGTGCACGTGTGTTCTTGTGCGTGTGATTCACTTTGCTCTGCTTCTTCTTAATGTTTTTCATAGATTGGTGATATCAGATGATGCGAGATGAGAATTAAGATGATGAGAATGAGGGATTATGAAGAAATGAGATGGGATTGGGTGGGCCGTGATTCGGTTCTACTTTTCTTGAAAAGAATTGCATATCATAGGTCAACTTGGGGTTGATCCTTTGTCTGTAGGGGTAAGGTGCGGATTCAGCCTGTCCGGTGGGAGGAGGTATCACAATCTCCCTAATTGTTCGTTTCGTTGGTCCACTCGGTCTCAGATGTAGAAGGGGGATGAAAGAGAGAGAGAAAAAGAGAGAAACGGAAATGTTAACAATGGCCGTGGGCTTATTTTCTAAACCCACTTATCCCCAGCTAATATCATTAGAGGGCGGGGGGGGGTTCGTAGAAACGCCGTGACGATATATACCGACGAAAAAAAGCACATATTGTGCCCTGCCGAAGAAGTGCCTGAAAGGCATTCATGCATGCTCCGCCTAATTATTTGCCTGCGAAGGGGGGGGGGTTAGGCTACCCAGTTAAGTGGGAGGGGACGGGGAGCTGGAAGGCGTAAACAGCACTCATATATTGAAGCATATGCTGTGCGAGGATCGTAGGTTATGGGCAGCTGGCATTGTTCTCCCTCTGTTATTTTGGGGGGGGTTCCCCCCCGATTATCCTGCCATCATATCCGGATTTTCGCATCAGTTTCTTCAGGTGCTACCGGAATATCCTATCTCCGGGCCGGGAGCAAAAGCGTTTGTGACGGGTGTGGGCTCGCACCGGACAGCAGACTCACGCTACCGTTTGTAGAGCACAGTACAGTACCCGTACAGCACTATAAGAGTACCGGTATTTAGGTGAATTAATATGCGAAAAATATCATTGACAGCACCTTCCGTTCCTTCTTGCTCCCCCCTCCCCCCTATCACTTGCCCACTCACTCAACTAGTTTGCCCCGCCATAGCACCTTCCCGAACCCACCCAAGCCCCACGTCTTCACCTCTTCCTCAAGCCCTCACTCGACCTATGATACCCGAGGCCTTGAGCAACCCTTACCCTACCCTACTATTAGCATACCTGTACCGGTATGATACCGGCATGCGCTGCTCAAGTGCCGAATACAATTTTCGACAAGTTAGATCGTAGCATGCGCTTGGAGCCGCAAAGCTTAACTTTGACTCCTTCATTCTCTCCCTGCTTCTTTCTCTCCCTGAAAATTTCACCAAAGAAATCATGCGTCTCCATCGCTTAAGCCACTTCACCGGATCCCGGAATCTACGTCTGCGTTTACGGGGGTACTCTACGAGCTTGCCTGGGGCCGCCGACCCCTCAAAGTCAAAGTTGCCTTTGAAAGGATTGAGAGTATTGGATTTGACGAGAGTTCTCGCTGGGGTAAAGCTTCTTTTTTTCTTTTTTTGCCACTGACTGGTTTGAAGATGGGGTGCAATTGGGTTGACCGTCGAGTAGCCGTACTGTACGCAGATATTGGGGGATCTTGGGTTTGTTCTTCTTCCTCTTTTTTTTTTTGGCGGGGGAGGGGGGTTGGTAATTGCTGCGAGGTAGGGCGGAAGTTATTAAGATCGAGCACCCAACGCGTGGGGATGATACTAGGGCATGGGGACCACCTTATGCCCCTTCGAAGGATGGAGGAAAGGGTGAGAGTGCTTATTTTCTGGCTGTGAGAGATTCTTTTACGTTTACAGAATTCGGGTGGTCAATTGATGGTTAATTATCTCTCCGCTTAGGTTAACCGGAACAAAAAGTCCCTGGGACTTTCCTTCAAGCACCCATCCGGTCAACGCATCCTCCAGCAACTGGCCAAGGCCTCCGACATCCTAGTGGAGAACTACCTGCCCGGGACCCTCAAAAACTACTCTCTGGACTACCCTACCCTGCACGGAATGGCCCCGCACCTGATCTACGCGAGCATAACAGGCTACGGCCAGACGGGGCCGTACAAGGACCGCGCGGGCTACGACGTGATGGTGGAAGCGGAAATGGGGCTCATGCACATCACCGGGGAGCCAGAAAGGCCGCCGGTAAAGGTCGGCGTTGCGGTCACGGACCTGACCACCGGGCTCTACTGCTCGAATTCCATCCTCGCGGCCGTGATTGCCAGAGCTGGGAATGGAGGAGTGGGGCAGTGGATCGATGTTGCGTTGAGTGATTGTCAGGTCGCTACCCTAGCGAATATTGCTAGTTCCGCCTTGATATCCGGGAAGGGGGATGGGGGCAGGTTTGGGACGGCGCATCGTAAGTTCTACCATGTTGCTTGAAACCCTCCTTGGAAGGGGGAAATGCGGAGCGGGAGAAGAGGAAGGAGGAGGAGTGTTGAGGAATGTGGGTGTTAGCTTCCATCGTGCCCTACGAGTCTTTCCCTACCACCGATGGGAATATTATATTGGGGGGTGGGAATGACAGACTTTATGCTATACTCTGTCAGAGGATTGGGAAACCGGAGTGGATAACTGATCCACGGTTCATGACAAACGAGGAACGTGTCGAGAATAGGAAGATTCTGGTCCCTATGGTAGCGGAAGTAACTAGGTCTAAGACTACCCAGGTAACTTTCCCCCTCCCTCACCCCTCCACTTTATTCCTTACCACCACACACACTATCTCCACCTCACGCTTGCCCCTAGTTACCACCTGTAAAGTATCCTCTGTTGCTTTTCCCCCCCCTTTTTTTCTTTTTCTTCTTCTAAAGTATGGGTGTGTGCGTGTATTCTCTTGTTACCACAGGAATGGTTGGAGATATTCGACTCCAGCGGAATGCCGTACGCCGCTGTCAACGATATTCAAGCCACGTTATCCCACTCCCACGTTCTCGCCAGAGACATGGTCAAGACGGTGCACCACCCAACATGCGGCGATATCAAACTCGTAAACACCCCGGTGAAGTATTCCGATTCCAGGCCAGGAATCAGGACACCACCACCCACGCTGGGTCAGCACACGGATGAGGTATTGATGGACTTTCTCGGATATAATAGTGATGAGGTGGAGGAGCTTAGGAGAGACCGGGTTGTGGCTTAGTAAATGGTGGTTGGCCGGATAGTTTACTCGACTTACGGCATGTACATCCTTTCTAACCAGTGCATGTGTGTATGATGGCATAACCTGGATGGGGTGGGAGATTTTTTGGGTGCGCACCGGATCATCCTATCACGTTCTTGCAGATGTGCAAAAACGGGTTTTCGATTCCCTACTAAAAAAAAAAAAAAAAAAAAGGGACAAATCTAATATCCACAGATATTAAAAGGTTCCACACATTTTTTCCGAGATTTTGTTCACACATGTTCCCATCATGAAGCTTGAACCACGACTGATGGCGGACACAAAGAGAGGTTTGCTCAAAGTATTCCACAAAACCCATCGAGTGACGTGCGGAAGAAAGAGGGAAAGGGAGACTTGGCAAGACGCGTTTTGAAACTCTTACGGGGTTGAAAGGTTTACATGATCCAATTGTTACCCACCATGATGTACCTGTACCAAATGTCAATATTCCAATGTGTTTGACCTTCCTTCCTCCCCTTCCTCCCCAAAAACCACCCGTGGTAGAGGGGTGGGAGGGGAGAAGAAGAAAGACAGAGGTTTCCGCACTTCTCACCAACTGGGTGGGAGTGGGTCGGAAGAATGAATGGAAACCCAGATAGAGATATGTTGTTCCAGTGATATAAATACCGGTGAATAACTTGGGGATAGGGGGCAGGGAGGTATATGTGGAAAAAAGAAACAAAAACAAAAAGAAGGAGGAAGACATTCCTTCGCTGCTTTGGCGCCTCCAAGAGAAAGGCCTGCTCCACCTTCCTGCCTGCCCTATCTTTCTAACAGTTTGCCCGCCTTCTATTGCTGCGGCGGCCGCTGCTGCTTTTGCCTGGGGAAGAGGAAGTGAAGAGAAAGAGGAAAGACGGGCAGGAGAGTCACTCTGGTGTTGTTGCCAAAAATAGGACCCGGTGGCCTTCACCCAGTCCGCATTGTCTGGATCAATCCCCTTCTCCCTCCTCCTCCTCCTCGTCTGACACTTGTGTTTTGCCTGACACTTTGCTTTCTATATTTATTTTCTTTTTTCCCTCATTTATTTATTTATTTATTTATCCATTATATTTCCTGTGTCTCCGTTCCCTCGCCACTGCTGAGCACTGTATATCTCCTCCTTCCTTGCAACACCTCTAACTTACGGTACTGCGGAAGAAGAGCATACATACCCTTCTCTCCCCTTCCGCTTTACCTGTGGAGAGACAGACATACGGACAGACGGGTGGAAAGAGAGAGATAGAGAGATAGAGAGAAAGCTCGGGTTCAGGGGTGATTCACGCACGCACACACAGTGGTTTCTTGCTTGTTCTTTGCATGATCTTTGCGGCTGTTGGCCAGGGTTTATAACTTGCAACTGAAGAAGGAAGGAAAGAAGGAGTAGTTCGCAAGCAAGCAACGGCGGGTCCTGTGTGTGTCTCCCCCTGGATCACACTTCCTTTGTTACTTTAGCTGTTCTCACCTTCCTTTCTTCCAAAACCTGCTGCACTCTTCCCCCCCCTCCCAAACCCACCGTACCTCCTCTCCCGCACCTTACCCCCTTGCCTACTTACCTGCCTACCCTCCTTCTCTCATTTTCACTTCTCTCTCTATCGTAACTGTCTTGTCTTGTCCCCAACCCTCGAACCTTTTTCCTCCGGGGGTTATTGGAATTTCTGGAAGCGCGAGAACAGCGGGAGCGTCGGGTGCCCCGTTGAACCCGTTTCGCCACGCCCTGGAATCACTCTTGCGGCTCCGGAGCTTATTTGCACTTCTTTCCCTCCAACAGCTGGCTCGGGACGACAACTAGCAACACTCTTTTGTTATTACACGCTCCAGCACATCCCGAACCACACACACACACCCCCTACGCACTATCACGCATCACTACCACTACCACTACCACTACCACTACCACTACCCACCCACCCCCCCCCCAATATCCTTCTTTTTTATCTACACATCGGCATCTATTACACCAACACGCACAACTGATCCAAATCTCCCTTCTTTTCTTTTCCCCTTTCCATTATTTTTCTTTTTTTTCTTCCTCCCACGATTAAATGTCCTCCACTCTCGACGCCGTACTGGCCAGCATTGACCAGGTCGAGGCACTGAGTCCAGATGACTTTTACCGGGTCATCGAACATTGGAAGCGGCGAGCTGCGATCCTGTGGGCTGGTCCAGCTCTCCCGATGCGTGGACCGGCTCCCCCGATGCAGGTTAGCTCTATTGCAGCTCTTGAATGCTTTGTTCGTGCTTTTTTTTCCATCCAATTGAAAGACAAGAGAAAATCATCATTTTTTCTCTTTCTTGCCCTTTTTCTTCTTTCCCTCCCTGATGAAGGTATGAGACGTAGCTGACCGTGGAACGACGGATGGAACGACGTCCTCGGAAATTCCATAGGCAAATGCACCCCCTACTCCCGCAACGGAGAATAACGAGCCAGTTGCTGCAATGATGAACCCTTTGCATATCCCTCCAGGTCTGCCAGTCCCTATAATGCAACAGCAGACCGCCAAGAAACGCCGGCAGAAGAGCACGGCTTCTACGCGCAGTAGTAACGTTAACATTAACGGCGGAGGTTCAGACCCTTCTACTCCCTCGACCATCGGCCCGTCCACTTGGACCACCACCGCGAGAAAACGACTCGACAGTAAGATGCTCTCCCTGAAAGACTCGACCGTCCCCCCGCCGAGTAATGCCACGCTTGCTCTTGCGATTGAGAAGTTGAGGTACTTCATCATCAGAGCGCTGCATCCGAATCTCCACAGTGTTGAGAAGGGAGGTGACAATTCTTTGGGCCTGTCCATGGGACCGCGTATGAGCTTTAATTACGATGCGTACATTCATTGGATCGAGTCCAGTCAGCAAGAAGGTGATGAGGCTACCAGGCGACTGGCCCAGGTGTGGTTCTTCTACAAGATGGCCGATATATTAACCATGTTCTGCGATGACGAGAAGAGACGCGGGGAGGGTGGTAATGAGCAAGGAAGGTTGCAGAGAGGTTATGATAAGCTGGTTAGTATCGACTGCATTACATCTTCGGACCTGGCCCTTGTTCACTGCCATTCGCCAAGATGCAGCTTGCTGATTTTTTTCGGGAGGGGGGATGGCTAGTTGCCGATTTGTAAACGTATACTGGATACGGATAATCGCCAGTACATTCGCAACCTGATTTGCTCTAGTCGCCGGTTCAGACAGCTTTGCACTCACATGGTTGGCTCCGAACGCGCCGAGATATTTGTCTTTTTCAAGGGGGAGCTTACGCTCACCGAGTAAGCCACGCACCCCATTAGGCTATGCCTCTTATCTGCTCCTTTTTTCGCTAACGTACTCCACAGCCTTAAGGACATGACCGCCTCCGCCGCAAAGATGGATGAGACCACCGCTATGCTCGACGTCGTTCTGGAAGACTATCTGACTACCGTTAGTAACATTGAAGTTCCGATCGGCGGCGAGCTGACGGGAATCAAAATCGATATGTGGAACGGTGTCTTGCAATTGTCCTAATAGGAGAGCAAGTGGGTATCGCTCTTCTCCTGAATATCTGGATACCTTTTTTCCAATTGAAACAAAAACAAAAACCAATAGCCACAATTACATCAAAACCGTCTTAATTGTATTACTAAGTCTTTTCTTTTCTTTTAGTCCCTTTAAGTTGTCTGCTTTATTTGGCTCATCCATACTTTCCTTTGCTTTTTTGCTTAGAGGCGTTATGGATTCTTTCGTCCTGCTTGTTTACTGTCTTTTTTTTTCAAGTTCAAGTTTGCCCCGCCTGTCTGTCTGTCTGCTTGTTATAGTTGGGTTAGCCATGTCCTTTTTTTGGTCGCCTTTTTTTTCCCTTTTTGTCTACTGCAATAGTTGAAAGTTGTTAAGTGATGCACGCGCAGACCGACCGGTGCAGGGCGAAATTAATTGAAGGATGGGTTGATGGTATGGACGGATGGATAGGTGTAATCCAATAGACAGTGTCGTACAGTATCATAGAGATGGGAGAGGAGAGAAGAGGAAGAGGAAAGAATGGGGGAGAAGGGGAAAAAAATATCTGTCTGCGTTCATGTGTTGTAGCTTGAGTTTTGCATTCTAAATGTGGTATGGAAGAGTGGATGGGCATAATATTATGATACCACTGGTGACTGATAATGCTAGTAGCATATGTGTGCGGGTAGTATACAATAATTTACTTTTTACTTATTATTATTACAGTGCTATGAATGGGTTTTTAAGTAAGTGCTGGGATAGGTTTGGGCGAAGTAATATGAGCGCGCACTAGTTAAAACCTGACATTCGGGTTCTTGTTTTGTTGAAAGTCAGAAAACACATGACAACCTTGGCAATATGATATAGCACAACAAATTTTATTTATTTATTTATGAGGACAGGTACATGGCTTTAGATGCCCTTTTTATCGTTCTTGGTACCGGACTGTTGGTTGCACTTATTTGGCAATTTCTCATCCCCACACTTTCTTCAGTATTTGTTCCAGGCAAGAAGTACTCGGGTGTCAGGGTATTTCGTGTCCAGCGGTACAAGCTGCCATCCTCCTGCCATGTACTCCTATTTGTCAACTTGGTATGGTGCATGTAGTCTATAACGTCAACCAGCGGTGTTTCAAATGTAATGCCTTACATAATCAGGGTTCAGGTTATTTCTGCTTAATTTTAACTTTATTGATTATGAGACTGAAGTTTGATAGAACTTGAGTTATGCTTTACACCTTAACTACTCTTTCAATTCCCTGTAAGTATTGATATCACTGTGACTAGAAATCCTGTATAAGATTAGTAAAATAGAGGAGAGGAGAGCTTTTCATAGTATTATATACATTAAGACTCAGGAAAGACAAAAACATGATAATGTGATTTGTATTTCTAGTTTACAACATCTTCATATATAGTTGATCCATATATGATATTTGACTGATAGATCTCTATAATATGATTGGTCTTTGCCTAATGTTTCTAAATCAACTTGTTTGGTACACTGGCCAATACCTCAGGAACAAGCCTCTTTTAATGATTTAAAATTATATTTGCAGTTTGTTTAAGTATATTGCTTCGCAGCTTTCTAAAAATACTTAATAAAATTCAATTTATAGTGAAAAGCCAGATAGAAAATTACTTCATGGCTGGCTTTAATAATTGCTTCCTTAATCTGACTCTTCTGGCTTTTAAAGTCTGTCTGAGCTATCAATAGTACTTATGCATAGTAATTCCTACAATCCAAACATCTTAGATTTAGCTTCTGAGACTTTCCTGTTAAGGATAAAATTGAACATTAGGCATGCAAGCTGAGGAAGCTTTGTAGCTATAATCTTTACTTAGTCAGGATTATTTTATGACTCTTAAGGTTGATCATTTAGTATACTAGTGACGGTACATATCTACCATCTAGATGACTTAGGTCCAAAATATATGTCTTGTATAATTATAGGATTCTTTCCTCTAGGTTCCAAATTGATTTGTAAAATATACAGTATATTATCAGCAAACTTAAGATGATTGTAAGCATTATCAAATACAAATATAGTTTTACAACCTGGAAATTGAGCTTCAAAAGCTAGTATAGCTTTATCCACTACTTGCTCAAATAACTTATTTCTATTCTACTAGACTCTGCTCCAATATTTTTGAATGATACATGTATTACTACTACCTAATTGACTAATTGGTATCAGATATTCTGATACATACAATCCTTGGCCTCAATCTTTGTTTCTTAATAGGTTATACTGAAGATGGACCCAGATAAAATGTTGACCATTGTTTGCATTAAAAGTATACTTATCTTGAATGACTAGGATAAGTGGTGCAATAAGGTCTAATAGATGCTCTAGTATGCAAATCTTTTTCAAACTTTTATTTCACTAAAGAAAATGATCTTCATAAGATTCCAATTGTAGAAGAAAGATACTAGTATTAGTATAATAGGATTTGACATCTTTCCTCTTATGACCTGTCACAAACTGTGACTAAGCAAGGCAGATTTTACATAGCTCGGATTTCCAAGCTCTCAGTATGTAGGGATTTCACATGACGCACACTAGTGCGCCATAGGTTATTATGTTTACCTGTTCATGACTCACAGTTGTAAGTCACACGAGGTTATGATTTTCGCACATGACTCACATTTGCGAGTCATGGGTTTCACTCAGAGGACACGAGTTACGCACCTGACTTAGTTATTATAGTTTGATTGGTTTTAGGTATGTTGCGCAGCGACTCACAGGAGTCGGCTGATGGATTTCGCATGACTCATAGTTATGAGTCACAAGGTTTGCGTGACGCATAAGTATGAGTCACGCCAGGTGAAGAGCTACTATATAAAGGGTCACTAGGACCCCTAGTATTAGCTCTTCACACGTTCTTCTTATTTATTTCCTACCTTTAAGTTATTATCAATAAAACCTACCTTTACGATCTTTAAGATTTATCTTAAGAAACCCGAGAAGTGTCTTTCCTCTCACGAGAAAAGATTAAAGTCCTAAGCGAGGACTAAGAAGAAGAGTAAGGAGATAGGCGCGAGTACGATAGTAGTCAAAGGACTAGACTATCGGGTTAGCGTAGGCATAGGCCTGAGAACTATCACCTCACAGAGAAGTATCGTTACCTTTCACTAGGTCCTACCTGGTAGGATTCTTAACATTAGAATGTGTCTTCAACGCGACACTTAACGATTACACAGCGGATCCATTCAACAGAGATCATGAGGGAGACATAGACGTCCAAGACGACAGTCTAGGATTAGGAGGATTGGAAGAAGCATTAAGCGAAGCAAGTCGACACTCAGCAAGATTGACAAGTCCGGTTACACCTGAACAAACTACCCCTCTGAACGAAGAAGACCCACCCGAGACACCAAGACCTGAGAGAATGTCAGGACCAGCACCACCCCCAGGTCTGCCTCTGGCAGGACCAGCACCTCCTCAGATGATTCCACGGGATGAAGTGGAACAAATAATATGAGAAGCTATAAGAGGAACCGGACAACAACCCAAAGTCAAGACCCCACCATGATACGATGGAGAAAGAAGCAAGCTACGAGTATTTATGGTCCAACTCTTGACCTACTTCGATGCTGTCGGATGGACTATGGGAAATGACCAAGACAAAATACGATACACCCTTACACTACTGGAAGGACAAGCACTTAAATGGATAACCCCCATCGTGGTTAGCAACGCTGCACCCTGGACGGACTGGGCCAGCTTCAAAAACATATTCGAAGCCCAATTCACAGACCTAGAATTGAGCCAATCAGCAAGGAATAAATTGGAGGATAGCCACCAAGGGGCAAAAACTGTCACCGATTACTAGTACGAGTTTCGACTACTCCAGTACGATGTGGCTTGCGACGAGGCCTCAGCTATGAGGTGGTTCATGAAAGGCTTAAAAAAGACCTATTAAGACGCATGGAGATTTAGCAAAGAAAGATTCACTACAACTGAACCAATGGCACACTGGGCCATCCGCAAAGAAATCCAGTTCGGACAACTAGACTCGATTCAGAAGAGCCAGTACAATATGAATACAAGAAACCAAGGCGCACCCAGGAACCAGAATGGAACCTATCGAACTACCACCCAAGGAGGAGATGCCATGGACCTGGATGCAACTAGAAGGAAACCCTCACTCAACCTTTCAAGAGACGAGTACCTTCGACGACGAAACAACAATCTATGCCTAAGATGTGGCATAGGAGGACATATGATTAAGGATTGCAGATGATCCGCCAATCCAATTCCAAATCAAGAGAGAAAGCAGCAGAACATGAGGACCAACTCTAGGTTTCAACCACGCAGTAACCTAAGGGAAATCGAAATCGAAGAAGAATACGAAACGGTGGCAAAAGATGAAGGTCCCCAGCAATAGATGGTCTGAGCGACCCTCTGAAAGACAAACCCATCGCAATGGCTAACTACTACACTCTTTTAAGCGCAAATACGGGAGAAAACGACAATGATCATATTATGATCAAAACAAAAATCTATAACGACAAAAAACAAGAAACCACGATACACGCAATGCTCGACTCCGGAGCCACGGAGGACTTCATCGATGAAGAAGTCTGCAAGAGACATCAGCTAAGAACCAAGAAAGCAAAAAAGGAAAGACAGATTTACCTCGCCGATGGAAAACCCAGCGCCATGGGACCTATAACCCATACCGCGCAAGTCCCTATGGAAATTGGAAACCATAGGGAAGTGGCTACTTTCCAAGTGGCAAATCTACAATACCATGAGATAATTCTCGGAATGCCATGGTTAAGACAACATAATCCCAGCCTAAATTGGGAAGAAGGAAAGGTTACGTTTACCAGCGAACGATGTACGACATGGTGTCTCAACAGTTCGCCAGTAATATATGCCACTCCAGAAGAGGAAGCAAATCAAAAGAACCTAGACGCAAAATTCAGTCAAGTTCAAACAAAGGATCAAAGAATCAAAGTTCAAAGATTAAGCCATGAGGCTAAGATACCCACAAGAGGATCAGAGAAGGCAGCAGGACACGACCTGTATGCCAATGAAGAAGTCACGATACCAGCCAGAGGGCAGGTAATCATTCCCACAGGAATAGCCATAGAGCTACCTCAAGGCACCTATGGGCGCATAGCACCACGCAGCGGTCTCGCAGTCAGACATCGACTCACTACCAACGCAGGAGTAATAGACGCCGACTACACAGGTGAATTGAAAGCTGTTATGGTTAACCAAGGGAACCAGGACCATAAGGTGGAAAAAGGCGACAAGATTGCACAGCTGATCATCGAAAAGATCAATGAACAAGAATTCCAAGAGGTGACGAGCCTAAGAGAAACCACCAGAGGAACCAAAGGGTTTGGAAGCACGGACAACCAAGGTCCAACCAAGAAGAAACAACCAAAGGTTGAAATTAATCGGATATCGGCACAAGCATTCGGCAAGTTTTATCGCAGAGGAGACATAGCAGGAATCCTTAAGTGGGATAGCCAAGAAGAAAAAATCAGTCTGGCCAAAATCAACATCAGTACCGAACTGGCCATAAGGAATCGAACTCAAGCAAAAGAAGAAAGATTGGATCAAATAATACCAAAAGAATATCACCAGCACCTGGACCTATTCCAAGAAAAAGAATCCACCAAGTTACCACCTCATAGACCCGAGGTAGACCTAGTAATCGATTTAGAAGGAAGCACCGAGGGATTACCCAAGAAAAGAATATATCCACTAGGAGAAACGGAACTCGAAGAACTAAGAAAATATATTCAGCAAAACCTCGAACGAGGATGGATCAAACAATCTTATGCCAACGGAGGATCACCCATCCTGTTCATCAAGAAAAAGGATGGGAAGTTAAGACTATGCATCGACTACCGAGCCCTGAACGGCATAACAAAGAAGGATCGATACCCCCTACCTCTAATCGGCGAAGCACTGGATCGACTAGCGTCAGCCAAATACTTCACCAAATTAGACATACAGGACGCCTACCACAATGTCAGGATAAGAAAAGGAGACGAATAGAAAACAACTTTCACCACGAAATATGGGAATTACTAATACCTCTTTATGCCCTTTGGGCTAACCAACGCACCAGCATCGTTCCAAAGATGGATCAATAACGTACTCCACAAGTACCTGGATATATGCTGTATAGTTTACCTGGACGATGTACTCATATACTCCAAAGATAAGGAACAACACAAAAAGGATGTCAGCAATATTATGGCAGACATCAAAGCATCGGGAATGAGATGTAAACCCAGCAAATGTGAATTCCACAAAGAGGAGACGGAATACCTAGAATTCATCATCAATGGAGAAGGAGTACAAATGGACCCTGTTAAGATCAAAGTGATATGGGAATGGGAATACCCAAAAAATAAAATAGATATACAATGTTTTATGGGATTCTGCAATTTCTACCGAAGGTTTATAGAAGGATTTAGCAGAACTGCTAAACCACTATAC